TCTTGTGGATAAGGGAGAAGCAGTGAACATGCTAGGCCTAGACTTTAGTAAGGCATTTGATACAGTCTCACATGATATTCTTATCAATAAACTAGGCAAATACAAGGTGGGTGCATAACTGGCTGGATAACTGTACTCAGAGAGTAGCTATTAATGGTTTACGATCCTGCCAGAAAGGCATAACAAGTGGGGTTCTGCAGGGGTCTGTTTTGGGACCGGCTCTGTTCCATATCTTCATCAACGACTTAGATATTGGCATAAAGAGTACACTTATAAGTTTGCAAATGATACAAAGCTGGGAGGGGTTGCAACTGCTTTGGAGGATAGGATCATAATTCAAAATGATCTGGACAAACTGGCGAAATGGTCTGAGGTAAATAGGATGAAGTTTAATAAGGACAACTGCAAAGTACTCCACTTAAGAGGAAACAATCAGTCTCACACAGAATGGGAAGCGACTATCTAGGGAGGAGTACTGCAGAAAGGGATCTAGGGGTTATAGTGGACCACAAGCTGAATATGAGTCAGCAGTATGATGCTGTTGCAAAAAAAGCAAACATGATTCTGGGAAGCATTAACAGGTGTGTTGTGAGCAAGACACAAGAAGTCATTCTTCTGCTCTACTCTGTGCTGAATAGGCCTCAGTTGGAGTATCGTGTCCAGTTCTGGGCACCGCATTTCAAGAAAGATGTGGAGAAATGGTAGAAGGTCCACAGAAGAGCAACAAGAGTGATTAAAGGTCTACAGAACATGAGCTATAAGGGAAGACTGAAAGACTTGGTCTTGTTTAATTTGGAAAGGAGAAGACTGAGAGGGGACATGATAACAGTTCTCAGGAATTTAAAAAGGTGTCACAAGGAGGAGGGAGAAAAATTGTTCTCCATGGCCTCTGAGGATAGGACAAAAGCAATGGGCTTAAACTGCAACAAGGGAGATTTAGGCTGGACATTGGGAAAAACTTCCTAACTGTCAAGGTGGTGAAACACTGGAATAGGTTGCCTAGGGAGGTTGTGGAATCTCCATCTCTGGAAATATTTAAGAGCAGGTTAGATAGATGTCTATCAGGGATGATCGAAACAGTACTGGGTCCTGCCGTGAGGGCAGGGGACTGGACTCGATGACCTCTCGAGGTCCCTTCCAGGTCTAGTGTTCTATGATTCTATTGGTTGTGGATCACCATTCATAGCCAATGGGAGCCACAGGAAGCAGTGTCCTGATCTGTGCCGCTTTCTGCAGGTCCCACTGGTAGAAAACGGCAATCCGCAGCCAATGGGAGCTACAAGCAGCTGGTAAATAAAGCGGGGGATAACCCAGGCAAACCACATCCAACTTTTTGCCCACTCCCGTGCTAACAGAACCAATTCCACAACATTTGATGATTTCCTGCGAGAATAATTTGTGTCCCCTTCTCCGTTGTGGGGTTTTTTTTTTGTGGGGTTTATGACAGAAATCACGTCCAAGTAGAACACTTTCCTGTTACCCTGTCCCTTCATGACAAGCGGCGCAAACCTCCGTTCCCTCCCAACCGGAGTCCATGAAAGGGCAGCACTGACCTACAAGCAAGCACCTGTGTAGCTGGAATATTGAGCTCATGCCCAGGTCTCTGGAATCCATGATTTCACAGCTGGCTTCGAAGCCAGGGACTGTGGCAAACAAAGTAGGTCCCCAAAGTCAAACTGGACAGCCTCAGGTTAGATACCAAAATTTATAATTAGGCACTGAAATCAAAACTGCCTGAGTCCATTATGCTGGAACATGGGTATTTAATTGTAGGCCACTAAATTCTGAAAAAAGAAATGTTAGTCTCCAAAAGAATCATCTCCCTTCCCCCCCCCCCAAAAAAACCCTGTAAAACTTATAGTAATATCGGCAAACCAACTCTTGACACATTTAGGTTATTCCTCAAACTCTATTGAGAATAACAGATGGGAGTGTATCAAATGCTAGGCTGCATGTGAGCTTCCATCTCTACCTAAGACTGATTACACCATTAATCTAGTCATCTGAAGAAGTGGGCTGTGCCCACGAAAGCTCATGATACCATCTTCATGTTTTGTTAGTCTTTAAAGTGCTACCTGTCTATTTACACCATTCATGTAAATTATAGGATTAATACACAATACCACCTTGTTCTCCATGTCTGGATTAGCTATGTGGCATCATCAAGGCCCCATAAGAAACAGCTCTTGCATGACATTTGTAGGGTTGCCAAGTGTCCGGTTTTGAACTGGACAGTCCAGTATTTGAGCTTTCTGTCCGGGAAACAAATTGAGAAAATACTGGACATATAAATGGTTTGATCATTATCATGAGTATCAGTACGTAGTTGCGTAGTGCCTGGATGGAAGACACGCTCACGCACCATGTCTACCAGCCAGGCAGTATGCAGCTATGCTGTAGAGAGGAGGGGGGCGGGGGCGGGGC